TCCTGTTCTTGTCCTGTGTCCAACATGTCAGGGTGGATCACGTCCCTCCCTCTGATACCTGAGGCTGGACACTCGGAGTGGAGCGTTCACAACATGAGGTCCTCGTCACTCCTTCAGCACCTCCCGGGGCCTCGTCAGCAGGGACTGAGATACACTTGTCTGTCTCTCAGTCCCCTCACAACAAAGGTGACCGACCTCTCACACACCTCAGGGCCTCAGATTCTTTAGGACTTGAAACAGACAGCAGAACAGGCGCTGAAACTAAAACTTGAATCTTTGGGTTTAAACGTGTTTTAATTCAGCGCCGTGTTTTCTCTTCGTCTCTCTTTTGGGGTTAGGGTTAGGGTTAGGGTTAGGGTCAGTGCAGCTGTGTAACCAGCCTGTGTTGACAGTGCCAGTCCAAATACAAACATCATTGTTTTTAATGACGTGATTAACAGGCAGCACACACAACATGACGATGACTCATTGGGTTGATTAAAACAAATGTGGAATACACAGTTGGAAATTATTGGTATTCCACTCGTTATAATGGTTCGTGTGTGTGTGTGTGTGTGTGTGTGTGTGTGTGCATAAACAAATATTAGGATAGTCCCCACTGTGTGTGTGTGTGTGTGTGTGTGAGTACAGTAGGACAAACTATTAAGTAGCATGTGTCTCAAAAGCAGCTGTCCAGAAGCCAGCTGGACTGACCCCTGGACACACACACACACACACACACACTCTCACATGCGTCTCTTAACTTTAACTGCTACTATAAACCCACTGTAACACAAACAGGTCCTAAATCAACAGACAGGACTGTGAGCAGGATCAACTTCACAGCCATCGGTCAGACTCACTTCTCATTAGCGACTCCTCAAACCTCCGGCGTTTCTGCTGTGATTAGATGAACTAATTGGACAAGGTTTTAATTTAGATGTTAGAACTCGAACTCCCCACAGTCGTTTTCCTTTATTCTTGGATTTGCTGTTGATTTTTCAGCTGGTGACAGCAGTGTCTTGTTAAATGGGACATGAATGGGACAGTTAAACTAATGGACTATTTTAAAAACTACAATCACACAGAGTCGATCTGACGTTGACTCACATGTCGGCCATGTTTCTTCTCCGTGGTTTGATCTTAGGGCCTTTAATGGTCCATAACAAAATATTTAAATGTTCAAACTCATGTCAGTCACACCGAGGGGTCAGTATCGTTGCTGCTCCTGATTTCCCTGCTGTCGTGACTTTTCCAGTTCTTCTTCTTCTCTCTCGTACTGTTCCTCTGATAATGTTCATCCAACGTCCCTCATCCAACGTTCAGTCCATTGGCAAAACACTCTGGTAACTGGAGCTTCTTATTGGCTTCCAGTTTATTCCTCTTTTCATCACTGTTCCACCTACTCATAAGGGAGGATCATGACAGATAACACATCCAGTCCTTGTACAGACATTGAAGTTTCTCACATGGAGGCAGGAACCAGCAACAAGAGCTGGTCTGGGGAAAAGGGAAATCTCATTCAAGGCCAAATTATTTTACAAAAAAGAGTTCCCCTTTAAATATATATATAAAAAAGCTAACATAAAATTAAGCAAGAAAAGGATTTGAATCATTATACATAAGCAGTAGCTCAGTGGGTTGTACAGTTGGTGGTTCAATTTCAGACTTGGTAGGTTATGTGGCCCCCCCTTCAGGCAGAATTCCTAGCGGTTGTGCAAAACCTGTAATTTACTGCACTCAGAGTGGTCAGTACAGGACATACATTCAAATTAATTAATTAACTAGATTAAATAATATATCCAAAGTAACACTACAATACAAACTGCACTTTGTCTCTAGACTTTGAGAACGTTCTCCTGTCTGTTAATACTAAAGTCAGTCAAAGTCAATAAAAACCAATGAGTCCAGTCGGTCTTTTGACTGACACTCAGTTCAACTTAACTTTAATTCAAGTGGATCACACGACACATACTGTCTATAAAAATAATTCCTCATTCTTTTTATTTATTTTGGAAGGAAGTTTTTAATAACAACGTCAGTGTCACTCCCAGCAGCTCCCAGATATTTTATTTTTATTTTTGCGTCGAGCTGCACAAATGGATAAAGGAGAAGTTACCTGTGTTTTATTGCCCTGGCTGATCAGTGGTGGTAATAACATGTTATCATCATCACACATCCTCTGCACTGGATGGTAAACTGTAATCTTCTTGCCAGTGTCTCTTCTTCTTTTTTTCTGCGTCCACATTATTATCCTGCAGCAGAGAAAATCCAAAGCTTCAGCTACAACTGAAACACACACACCCTGTCATGTAGCATTTGTCACCGTTGGGCTTGGGAGTCGTTAAATCTGATTCCTCTGAGACATTTTCTCTCTTGTTAAAGGTAGTGTTGGGGTCAAGCATTTGGTTTCAGTGGCTGTAGATCAGTGAAGGTGAGGCCGGGTCAGGTACGCTGTGTCTGAACAGGCAGCGTGGCCTGAAGCCCCGTGGTACTGCAGGTGTCAGGGGTCAGCCTCCACCTCCTCCCTCTACTTCCTCATGGCTTTTTTCACCTCCTCTTCTGCTATGATACCCCACCAGCACTGTCCGCCTTTCTCCTCCTGATGCTTCCTGTGTGTCTCCTCCACACGTCTGAGTGTCTGCCTCCTCCTCGTCTCCGCTCAGACACAGGGACTCACACACAGTGAACACATTCATTCTGTCTTAACATTATTGTTCCCTCGTGAAGAATTAAAAACTTTATCAAATGTTGGCTGTAAGGTGCAAAGTTTAATAACTACCGTCTGGAGACGAGGCTTTGACCACCGTCCAAAATATAAACCTGGAGTGGAATTTGAGACAGAAGAACGTCCCTCTGGGCTTCTATGAAACACAAAACATCCATGTTTTTTTTTCTTTTTTTTGCCATTCAAAGCATGATATTTAAAGTTATTCATCTTTTATGCAACAATAAAAAATGCGAAAGAATTATAGCTCAAGTGTTAGCCAAAACTTTAGGAAGGCAGGGAAAATTAATTTGTTAAATTGTAAATGTATTTTTTATTTTTTAATAAATACCAACTACCATTATTGACTAAGTGTAAACCTCTTCAGTCCTGAGACCTGCACTTTGTGACAGGGACATTAGTTTTACTCTCTTTTCTAAATGTGCTTAAACAAACACATTTTTTAATTATAATTACAGAAAGACACGAGGATTTAGCTAAATGTGCTTAAACAAACACATTTTTCCATAATTACAGAAAGACACGAGGATTTAACAAAGATTGGCCATTTTTAAACACATCACAAATTGTAGTGAAATGGTTAATGGTTGGTGGTCTTTCTGTTTGTCTAACATCTGCATCACTGTCTTCCTCGCGCTGTCATCCTGACGGCTCCCTGAGGTTTTAAATCATCATTGTATAAAATAATCTTTCTTTTTTTTTTTTTTATAAATCTAAATTTTTTCCCTGCCTCTGTTAGACGGATTTGTCAGAGTGTGTTTGTGTGTGGCAGGTTCAGGAGGAATAGTCTTGTATTCCAATCCCACACAGCTGCCGGTCCTCAGTCTTGGATGCCAAAAAGGGATCAAGGGGCTTCACTGCTGATTCGTCATCTTAAGACATGTATCTCAGTGACACCTAATGCTGAGTCACTGTAATATTGTAGTAATTCCTCAGTGATCAAACGTTGTGTCTCCACTAAAGAACTTGGAATGAAGTGTCAGGTGAAGATGCTTCATTTGGGAAATATATTTTTAAAATATGAGAACGTTGATGACTCTGCTGTGCAATACATAACAGATATCACAATATAGGAATGTCGTACCGACAAACTAGACAGCTGCAAATGAAGTACTGTAGTAGATGATGAACGCACGTGTGTATTACTTGGCTCTGCCATGAACGGTTGACCTGTCCTGAACGTAGCCTTACCTTTCACCGGATGTCAGCCGGGTTTGGGCCCAGCTGCACCCGTGACCCCGGAGAGGAAGATGAATGAAGCCGTGACGAGTGTCACAGCCATGTTCATCCAAGTGTCACTTTAACATGAATCCCAACGAGAGTCTGTTTGGATAAAAGTCTGCACCTACTGCAAAATGACTTGACCTGGAAGTAAGTGAGAATCCCCGCTGCAGAGAGAGGTCAGATGTTAGTGCAGTTCATGACTTTCTAGTTCAGTGGGAAAGAGCTCAAAGGAGCAGCGTGTACCTCATGGTGAGTTCAAGTTCTGTTTGATTTCTATTAATTTTTTTGGGACACTTCAGTATCACTGAGAGAGTGAGGTCACTTTCAGAAACTGTGTTTGTGTGTGTGTGTGTTTGCAGGTTGCTTTGTGAATGCATTATGGGTGTTGTATTTCTCACTTATCTGTCAGTCATTGCATTATATTGAGCTGCATAATGGAGCCAGTCATCTTAAGAGAAATCCCAGCCTTTACTTAATTTATAAAAAGTTAAAAATGAAGTTAAAAATGTAAAAAATAATTTCTACTAATCTACTGACTTTTTTTCACTTATATAACTTAACATATATGAACTCATTTGACAAATATGTTACATTATGGACCTGGCCTAGTTCTTATTGTCATGAAAAAAACAGAAAAGTAATTGTACAACTGAAAAATATATATTTTGAAAAAAATATTTAAAAAAATATTTACCCACAATCCAAATACTTTTTTGCCAATTTGTATTTGTATCAGAACAGAAACTGTCAATTATAAAAAAATAATAATAATTACATACTGACAGTGGTTTAAGTAAACATCGACGTTTTAATGCACAATATATTAGTCCATACCAGATAAAGTGAAATAAACACAAGAAAAAAAAGAGAATCTACATTAAAACATTTGCTGGCGTCAGGGGTTTGGATGTCATTGAACGCAGCATTAGACTGAATGAGGAGAGGAATCAAACGTGTGGTTCATGAGGTGAGAGCTTGGTGCAGGTTTGTTTGTGGTGAGGTGGAGGTCTGGAAAACAGTATAGCCTGGAGGGAGTGAATGAAGCCTTTTGGGATAAAGTATAGTCTGGAAAACAGTATAGCCTGGAGGGAAGGGAACAGTGAATGAAGCCATTTGGGATAAAGTATGGTAAAGTTTGTTCCATTGTTACTTTTCCAAACCATTTTTCCCAGTCCAGAAGTGGAGATGTCAATCGCAACATGCCTTCAAGTCGTTAACCCCACGGAGGAGCAGCAGAGAACTCACATGACCCTAACTCCAAGTCACTGTTTGTTCAAGTTGTACGCTTCAGGTAGAACACGTCTTAATGTGAGGTTAGAGTTGTTCATCTACGAGACACAGAGTCAAGAAGAAGGAAATGTTTGAAATGGAAAAACGTAACTGAGGCTAATATTCTTTTATTAACATTTATGAAAAGAATATTGTAGCTACAGACCACAGCTGCTGCGACCACTGGGCCCAGACTTATTACATGGTCACCGCAGTGAAAAGCCATGAAGGTTTCACTCTGACCACTGTGTGTCTTTGCTGAATCACTGGAGTCAGTCCTTCATGACCTTGACTCCTGGTAAACATCCCTTGGTCATGTCCTGATTGTTTATGACGGATGTTTGATTTCCTCACTGGTAATTAAGAAATACTTCTTTTATCTGAGGATTATGACGGACCAGGGAGTGATATGTAAATCATGTCCTGTTTGATCATTTACTCAGGATTAACTGCGTACTGTGACACTGCTGGTGCCAGGGCCGTTGTGTACTTCGTGGAAACACTAGAATGCGGCGGGTTTTTCCCCATTTTTCAGATTGGTTTCACCGAGAAGCTCTGTCGCCTTCCTGAGGCCAGAGAAACAAGGCGTCAGGTGACTGGGACACTGCAGTGAGGGGAGAGGAGGGGAGAGAGGGAAGGGAAGGGAAGGGAGTCTCCGTCTCTACCATCAAACTGTTGCTGTTTGACTGGCGGCCAGTTAGAAACCTGCTGCTGCTGCTGCTGCTGAGCGTAAACGCAGTGTGTTTCGTGTGTGTGTGTGTGTGTGTGAGAGAGAGAGTTGTCTGGATAGACGCAGCAGCTTGTCCTCTCTCACTCTCTCGCCCCCCCGCCCCCCACTCTCTCTCTCTCTCTCTCTCTCGCTCCAATCACACACTCGGGAGCTGCGCCTTGACGCACCACGCAGAGTTGGATTATAGTATTGCGCGCTGATCTTTGACGGGACTTTTGCCTGTTTTCCCACGTTGCCCGCCGCTCCGCTGCCCACTGACTGGCATCTGTATCGATTTGCCATCGGAATCAATACCACAGCAACATTTGGAGGGTTTTTCCTCTTTTTTTTCTTCTTTTTTTCTTTTGGATAACCGAAGACTTCATTTTGCCAGATGCGTGTTGTGAATCAGGAATAAAGAAGGTCTCACCTGGATCACTGAAATGTGCGTGAAAGTGCGTGGTTCTGTGGGTCTGGTCAGGGTCTGAGCTGTTCCACCAGCCTGGTTGCGCACTCGGACTCAAAGACATTTCCACTGCACGGACAGACACGAGATCACACCCGAGGATTTGCGCACCGCATGCCGGGGACATGTGGAAGTTTGCGCCGCTGTAGCGCAGAGAGAGAACCGGTCCAGCGTCTCGTCCTCCGCCTCTCTCCTCACCCAGGAGGACAAACTCTCGACTCGCAGCCCTGACGCGCAGAATCCTCAACTAGAGACAAATGTAAATTCATCAAGTGCGATTTTAGGGACATCCATCAGAAGACGGGGCAGAGCAGCGAAGGCAGGACTGCATCTACGTGTTGCGGAGTTGTGTGAGCTCTCTGTGGGATTTCGGGACTCGGTTTTTAGTCGCCTTCCTGTTTCCCTGTAACCTGTGTTCGTGGGACTCATATTCAGCCACTTGCCGCAGTGATGATGGGAGCCTGGTGCGCCGTTGGCCCTGGCCGCTCCCCGGCGGCTGCAGGGCTGCTGCTGCTGCTGGCTGCCCTGGCTTTGGCTCTGCTCAGCGGGGCAGATGGGCAGCCCTGCCCGGCCCCGTGCTCCTGCACTGGTACTACAGTGGACTGTCACGGCCAAGGGCTGCGCAGCGTGCCCAGGAACATACCCCGAAACACGGAGAGACTGTGAGTACCGAGGGGGAGGAAACGGGGGGCAAACCGTGACGTTTGGAGGTTATGTGCAACCAAACCTGGCGCCAACAATTCAAACACGTTTTATTTTATAAATAATTATCATTTCATTAAAATGATCATTTGAATAATGCTAAAGAAAACTTTAATTCCCCTCCATGTAAATGTGTTTCAGTGTCAGGTGTCTCCAACACAGGGCCGACGGTTTATTAGAATTATACGGTAAATATAAAAAAAAATCTTTGAGTCACGTTTAAATTAATTTCTTGAAAACCTAGATATCGTCAAAGCTGGAACTTTGTGTGAACTAGAACCTGGTCCGATCAAACCGAACAACCAAAGTGAACAAAGTTGACGTGTAAATGTTGAAGTTGGAGCCACGGCTGCGGCTGTTTCTGCGGTTTCGCACAGTTGCATTAGCCCGGTGTGTGTAGACCACGTCGGTTCGTCTGGAGAGCGGCGACTTAATCAAAAACGGATTTGGACAAGTGGCTTTCACTTAGAAAGGGCGTATTTCTGATCAGACAAAGTCCTCTTGGTGAAATTAAAATTTGCTCACAGTTGCCTCAAAGTACAATTCCTGCATTGGCCATGTCACGTTAGGAGTTTGGGGTTTTTTTATATAGAAAAAGGAATGTCCTCTACAGACGTGCTCACCTGCTTTGTCCTTGCTTTATTAGCGTATCAATGTAACAGCCTGACAGCCCCTCCCTCTGCCTGTTTCTGCCCAGGGATCTGAATGCAAACAACCTCACCAAAATCACCAAGGCCGACTTCACAGGACTGAGGAATCTACGAGTGCTGTAAGTGTATTTTCTTCGCCTTGTCCCTTTTTTTTTCAGTGATACAAAATAGGACAAGAAGCACCCCCTTCCCCCCCAACCCCCCCCCCCCCCCCCCC